AGGCTCTCTCTTTTCTCCCCTTTTTGCCCTTTTTTCCCCCCCCCCCCCCCCCCCCTTCCTTTCACCACAGATTTCCACTGAAATTGCAATTGAGTAGAATGCAGTTGCTTTTTTGTTGGTGTTTTTTTTCAGGACACAGTGTGCAGATCACTGTTTTTCTTCTAGTGGAGGCTTTCTTTAGGCTCTGACAGGCTGAGCAAGTTCGGTCTGTACAGCCTGGAGAAGATTGTGTGGAAAGCTCACGGCATCCTTCCAGTATCTGAAGGGAGTCTACAGAGAGGCCAGGAAGGGGCTTTTTGTTAGGAGGTGTAGTGATAGGACAAGGAGTAATGGGTACAAATTGAGAACAGGGATATTTAGGTTAGATATAAGGAAGAAATTCTTTATTGTAAGGCACTAGAACAGCTTGTCCAGAGAAGTTGTGGATGCCCTATCCCTGGCACTGTTCAAAGCCAGGCTGAATGGGGCTTTGAGCAGCCTGGTCTAGTAGGAGGTGCCCCAGCCCGTGGTAGTTGCATCTAGGTGATCTTTAAGGTCCCTTTTCTATGATTCCTTTTCTCCCTGATCATCCTAGGGAGCTGTGATCAGCAGAAGGCTTTGGATTTTTTTTTAAGTTCAGTGGAAAGAAGAGATATCTGGAAGTAAGAGTTCTAAAATGTTTTTGTTCAGCCTCAGAGTGTATTTAGGCTGCAAATCTAAATTGTTGATTGGAGGAGAAAGGAGATGGTGAATATTAGTGCAGCTCTATGACATTTTATCTTGTGTGCAGAGGTGTAGGATGTACAGTGGGGCATTTTAACAAAAGTGGAAGTGTTGTGAAATAGAATATAAACAGTGCATATAAATGTGTTCAGTAATATAAACAAACTGCCTAGTTGTAAAAATATCCAGAAATCCAGTGAACCAGCACATTGTTTGCCAGCAGGTGGCAATAGAAGTGTGCTGGGTAGTGACTGCTGCAACTCTGAGAACAGTGTGCTCTGTTAGTGTATGTCAGAAATATGTTCTTCATAGTATGAAGTTGTATTTATAGACTATAAAATCTAAATAAATTGAATTAACTAATTGCAAACATGCCAATAACCTGTCTTTTATAGGGAACAGCATTGCTATGGCTCCCAAAGGGGATTAAACTTTTTGCAGTGTTCTATACCCTGGGAAATATTGCTGCTCTTGCCAGGTATGATTTCTTAGTTATTGCTTTTAGAAAAGTACCCTCCTTTTCAGCTACATTTCCATTTGCTTTTACTCTAGAGTGCTGTCTATATTGTCTGTAAACAACATTGCTTGGTATTGAATGCTAATAACAACAACTTGTTTGTTTTACACTTTTGTTATCAGTTACCTTACACAACTGTTTGTGGGCACATCACAGCTGGGGAATAACAAATTGATAGCTGAATGTTTTGTACTTTCTACATGTAAGTCCTTCTGCCAGGTACAGAAGTACCTCAGCTTCAGGAGCAAACTGGTAGACTGCCCTATGTGTGGATACTTAGTTACTGGAAGGAGCTTTTTGCTTTTAACGGAGAGATCATACTGTTTCCAAGAAAACTTTCAAAAAGGAAACATTCAGGAAATCCTTGTTTTGACTGTAAGGTTGAAGGCAGAATCTAAAATTTGCTCATAGTGTATTTTTAAACTCTCTGATTCTTTGAAATGTTCCCAATAACAGTCCTAAAAGATTTGCCTCTAAAAGGGACCCTCTTAAGACTGAAAACTTTGCTTTCACAGTTTGAAAGACGCATAAGAAAGAAGTTAATGTCCCTAAGGTATTTTCAATTTCTGTTTTTCCTCCTTCTCTTATTATTTTAGTGTGGTTGAGGCATGGTCATGGGACTCAAACGCCATGGAGGCTGGTCTTGACTTCCATGGACTCTGACTTCAGTCAAGCAACTCATCTTTTGAGTCAAAGCTTCGTTAATCTGTTAGAACTCATGTAATGTGGCAATAACATTTGAGAAACATGAAGATACTGCTTTTCCTCAACAAATTTGTTAGGAGACAATAATGTCTATACTGGCATTGAGTCTCAATTGTGGAACTATTCCATCTCTTACTAAAACAAGACAAACAGTTAATACTGGAGATAGTCAAAGCTAAGTTTTTGCCTTTCTCTCACTTATCATACTCTTTATTCTTTGTTGTTGATTTCAAGTGAGGTTTTTTCCTGGTGCTTTGAGTGTGTTTTCATTTCTTCAAATTAAATGAGCATTTTAGAAACTTAGTACTAATCAAGTCTAGTTGAGTTAAGAGGAAAGTTTTTACAGACTAGTATTTCTTTAAGGAGAATGCTAAAAAACTTTAGTCTGCACTCCAGCTAAAATTAGAAGAAAAAAGAGGCCCATTTTTCCTTCACTAGTCCTTTTGGATATAAGAAACAGGCAACTGTGTTCTAAGAACAGTAGGAGATGACAATGAAGTCCCAAATTAACAAGCAGATTTAAACTTTTCCAGGCTTCTTTGCAAGACTGCATTTAAACCAAAATGCAGTTACCACTCTTACTAGCCTGTTTAGTCCCCTCTAACTTGTTTTTATTATTGTTTTCTAACGATGAACATTAAAACAATGATACTTACTTTATTGTTCTCAGGGATCATGAATGTGTCTCTACAGAATGGTGTATATAAAATAATTATTCTGTTTAACTGAAGGATGTCTAGAATTTTTCTCCCAACATTTCTTTCTGCTCCGTATGGGATCTCTTCTCATCTCTGGAGCAGCTCTTGTGATGTCAAGTCTTCTCAATATGAATCAGATTACAAACAACACATTTTTCTTTCTATATTTTTTCTGCCTATTTTGTGTGGCCAAAATGTAATTCCTTTTTACCACTGTATTTTTCTCACCCCTGTCCTTCCACTCACTAACTAATATTTTCTTCTAGTTCTTCATGTCTCTTTTTTTTTTGTCTTGGTTTAATTTTATGGCTCAGCAGACAAGATGAAAAAATACTGAGAAAAAAATTAGTTTGGCTTGCAGTGAATATAAAATTTTCTTTTTCTGTTAAATTTTGAAAACTTTTTTTCATTTAATATGGACATTTGAAGTCTGTCTGCATAAGATTAAAAAAGTGAGAGAGATACATGTGCAAGGTTGCTGGTAGGAGAACATTTGGATGTAGAAGATTAAGTTGTATTTGCTGCCTGGAATGTGGATTCCCATATTTCTTCTGTCATAGAAGGCTTATGATTGGTTTCAGGAAGAAGCTCTATCAAACTCTTCCCTGCTGTATTTAATATAAAAAGGAGTTAGACTAGGTTTTCTGCTCTGTAGTAAAGCATTCACACCACCACAAGATTACAGGCATTGAACTCTCATTAAATTGTGTTTTCTGCAAAGCAGAATGACAAGGAAGAAAGAGGCTCATCTCAAATATTTAAAGCCAGAGAAATACTCCTGAGGTTGTGAACTCTTAGTACAGATGGCATTTCTTTGCATAAAAAGCTACAGCATGTGGTTTTCATTCTCCCTTCAAGTTAACTACAGAGTAGAAAAAAGCAGGAGGATTGATACAAACTACTGAACTTTTTCTGCCTTTTTTCTTGCTGAGTTGGACTAAAAGAGGTAGAAAATCTTGATTGTAGCTACTTGCATTCTGCCTGGGTTAAAATATGTATTATTAAACAAAAATTTTCTACAGCAGGTTGTAATCTTGACATTATTTTATCAAGTCGGTTATAACAGCTTCAACACAAAATTCACTAGACTTCAACTTGATAATTCTACTACACTTATATGTTTTGTTTTGGTAATGTAAAAAGCTCTAACCACTATATTTATTCCCATTATCTTTCCTGAAATCTTGGATATGATCTCATTTACTTCTGCAGTTGAGTTTTCTCATCTTTTTTTTCCTTCTTCTGTCTATTATGGTGCTTGCCATCTTAAAATAACAATCAAAACATCTTTGACCACCCACTCATTTCTAAATTCATGTAGAGCTACTTATAGTCATAGTTCAATCTCCCCTCATTTAGTATCTCTTAACATGATTTAAATTTAACTGTAACTGCACTGCTTTTTAAATCATCTTTATTTATAAATGGCATTCAGCACCATCAAACAGATTATTAGTCGAAATGAGAGTTCATGAAAACTGATTTGCTTCTATGCTCTTCTGTTATTCCTTGTATATCCTTGTCACCCTCTGTCCTCTCTTATCTCAGCCAATATAAGTGTTCTTGTATTTGCCTGTTACTTTTTTTTCATTATGGTAATATTTTGGAAATAATTTCGTGACCAAGGGTGACTCATAAACTGTTTCCAGGGCTAAATTCATGGAGTATTTCACCTTCTGTTCTAGTTAGTCTCTGTTGCTAAGCAGAGAAATATATTTTTTTAAAGCCTTTGCAGTCATCTATCTGTTGGAAAGCTGGTTAATTACCTACTGTCTTTTAGAAAGAGTTATTTCAAAGTGATTTACAATTTGTTTTGGTTTTTTTATCTCCTATTAGTACGTGTTTCCTGATGGGGCCACTGAAGCAACTGAAAGCAATGTTTGATCCAAAACGATTAATAGCTACGATTGTGATGTTGGTAAATATACTATCTTTCTTTCCTTTTATTAAAAAGTTTTCCTTTAGCCTCAAAGCTAAATTTGATGCTTTTCTAAAGGGACGTTATTACTCAGTCTGCCTCTTCCTTCTGCTGAGAAATTACAGTCAAGCTGTTAAACTCTGTATGTCACAAAGATCATCTAGCTCCTTTCTATGAACATGTGTGGGTTTTTTGTTTATATTTTTTTAATTAATCATTTGGAGTAAACTGTTCCTTATGAAATCTTTCTTAGTAAATGCTAATGGCAGGTTAATTATTTTTAATTTATTTTCTAAAATACTTTCTTCAAGAACAAGGGGAGAGATTTTTTTTAGCTACTGTGGAAAGTCAGTGGCCACCAAGTGTAGCTTCACAGTTGTTTTTTAGCTGCAGTTTGGTCTGTAAAGTTCAGTGATTCAGCACTTTCGAAGCAATGGAAAAAATTAATTTATTTCCACAAAGTCTGGGAGGCCACACGTTCAGCTTTGAGATTCTCCATTGTGACATCCCTGGCTCCTTTGCTTCCACAACCATAATTTCTTCTTCCTGGAGGATGGAAAAACCTTCTCCCCAGTATCAAAATTCGTATCCCAAAGCTCCGTACTAGGTAGTTAAAACAACTTTCTCCCCTTGCTGCTTCTCTGTTTAATACTTTTCTGTCTTGCTCCTACTGAGTTGTTTCAACTTTGATTTTTGAAATGTAGTTGGCTTTCCTATTCTCTCTAACATATAACTTGTTTTTCTAGTTTAGTGAGTAAGAAAGTCTTCATAAATTCTTTCTGGATGGCTGTCTTATGGAGGCTGCATGTTCTTCCTCTCGCACACCCACATAAAAAAATAGTTATAATCTCTTTTGAGAAGCTTACATTTGCCCCTGTCTTTTGGGGAAGGCACTTGATTATTGCTTGGACTCCAAACTTTGTTCAACAGAGGTTTTTTTTGTTTGTTTTTTGTTTTTTGTTTTGGTTTTGTTTTTGGTTTTGGGTTTTTTTTTTTTGTTGTTGTTGTTGTTTTTTGTTTTGTGTTCTTGTTTTGTTCTGTCACTATTTTCAACTCATGCCAAGTTACAAGTCCTAGAAAGGTTATGTTTTATAGGCATGAATTAAAAATGTCCAATAATATCTCCAGTTCTCCTAGAGTCTATATTTGCTGAGCATAAATTCTCCTACACTTTACAGCTGTGGACTTTTTCCAATGAAACTAAGAGCGTAAGCCAGACACTTAAAACAGCAGGCACAAAAATCATTTTGCTCTGATGATCCTGTCATCCACTGTGCTCAGACATGGTGACAAAGAGAATAATTCGCTTTGAAGGCTGTAAAAACAAAATATCAGGGAAATGGAAAGAGAACAGAGAGCAGAGCACATATCAGAGACCTACCTGTGCAGAGAGGCTACCAGCAAAGTTGGGAAAATGAGAATGAAAGGTTTCATCTAATAGTGAACATGAACATTGGATGAGAGCCAAGACTTTTAGTATGGCAATTTCAGTAAAACACAGAAGAATTGGTAAATTTAAAGTTTTGAAAACTTTGGATGAATTTGACTGTTTTAATCCCCATCCTAACAAAGCTAGAATTGTAGGCAGTTCAGGAGTCACAAACATGTTTGGAAAATTTCAAGAGTGTGTTACTTTTCTTCCTTTTAATAAAATGCCAACACATTTTCTTTCAAATTAAAATTGATTTGTGGTTTTGTTCTGTTTTCTACTATGTGTAATGAAAAATGGAGGAAGCCAGGTAAGATCTAGTGGAAAAGTTCTAAGTGATGATTAGGCTTGCACAAATGGTGTGATTATTTGTTGTTACGTTCCATCTAAAGTGTTTTAAAGTACCTAGAACAAAGCTTCATGTGAGCTTTTTCACTGTACCTGTGGCAGCTGCTCTCTAGTAGACTCTTCATTAGTGTTTGAAGATGAAAAAGCACTGGCAGATGAGGCATAGCCTGTATTTACCAGATCCTGTAATTGAGAATGGATGTTTTTAATAAAGGGTTGTTTGTAGCGATGCACTCATCTTTCTTGTCAGAGACAGGTTTTATGAATACCAGGTTCAAAATGAGAGTATGTACTGGAATAAGAGAGTAACAGTTACCAGACTTCTTGATTCCTTTCAGTAAAGCTTTATCATTTAAGCCCACCTCTGAATAGAACCAACAAATAAGGGTGCACACATCAGCTTATACTCCTGCTGGTTCCTCAAGTCAACTCCTGCCTTGTCTTCCTTTCAAGACTTGTCCTAGCCCTTCTGGCCATTCATACCTCATATGTGCTTAATACTGTGCTTTAAAAAACACCATGGAGTTCATCGTATAGTCACTGTGAGACAGCCTTTGGCTCTGCTTGTTTCATAAGTTAATTTTAAAGTGCTGATTGCCCATTGAAAACATGGAAATGGTCACTGTACTTGCGTCATTGTGTATTTGAGTATTCATTCTTTTTTTTCTTTGTCTCTCCTTCTCACCCCAGCTTTGCCTAATCTTGACTCTGTGTGCTGTATTCTGGGTAAGTGAGAATGCTTTTTAGAAAAAAAAGTAATCTCAGTTGGTTAGTTTATTAATTGCATTGTAGCTTTAAGATACAGTTCAGTGGTGAAGGAAAGGTGAACTCGTGTGTGGTGTTTTTGTTGTTTGCTGCAGTTGAGCTCAGGTGAAGTGATAAGCCTGTTGGCTATAAAAAGCAAATGCAACCTTCCCTCCTGCATGTGATGTAGATGAGAATGCATCGGGTTCAGTCTGCAGACCTCTAGAATAAAAACTAAGAAAGCCAAGTTCAAATATTGTTTTGTCTCAGTGATGCATACTTATGTCAGAAAATACCAGAGTGTATAGCCATCTTCAGAAGCCATGGATACAGAATTTAAGCTGGTTAAGACAACAGAAAAAAAACCAGTTAGTTTTCATCTTGGTTGAAAACTAACTGTAGTTCCATTCCATAGAAGTAAATATGTCACTGGAATGGACTTCCATATTTGCAGAAGTACAATGACGTGAGTGAGTGTTAACACTGATGTTGTTAGGTGTTTCCAAATCTAGAAAAGGTTTACATAGCATGATGCTGATGCAGTGATGGATAAAATGAATGGATAGTTGTTGGGAAAGAAACAGCAAAGTAAGACAAGGAAATTTAGGCATTGTCAGTCAACTCTATTCTTGATTAATCAGTCTGTGCCAATTGTTTGCAGTATAGACTGGTGTGAAAATTGAACTAATTTGCAGTATTTGCTTTATTTTTGTTTAGTGGAACAAAAAAGGTTTGGCAGTGTTATTCTGCATATTGCAGTTCTTGGCAATGACCTGGTAAGATTCTTAAAATTCCTTTTAATTTCTTCTCCCTGCCCCTACACCCTCATGATCAGAAACCTGTCATATATATATGATTCACATATAAGTGTGCCCAAATGCTAGTCTCAATCTGTTTTTTCTCAGCTAGGTTGTGTAACTCCAGCAAAATCTATATTCAATCGTCTTGCAGAAATGGTAATTTGAAGTATATTCTGCAATGTGTGAACTTATCTGAAGCCTTATGAAAGGAATACGTATGCAAAAAAAAATGTCATGCTTTTGCTGTGTTGTAAAAGTATACTCTCCTCTTTTTTGAATTCTAACTAGTTTTTGATTTTTGAAGTGAAAGAAACTAAAAAACATTTTCACAGGGTACATCCTGCCCCAGGAATATACTGGGGTGGTAAAGAGTGGGTGGATGTGTGAGGGTGAATTCAGTGCAGCCTGTGATGACCAGGGGCTCCGGGTCTGGATTTGGCATTGTGTGAGTGCAGGCAGGTGAATGCTTGCAAGCCTGGCAGAAGTTCTGGAAGTTACTGCCTTTTCCACAGAGATACACACATGGTGTCATTGTCCCAGGTGAATGACTTGGTGTCCTTATCCCAGGTGCTCACTCTCAGGCAACCCAAGGTGACCACAGTTCTCGCTTGAATTTGCCCTGAATACGCAAAGTATGTACTGAACGTGGATCTGAGAACAAGAAACCATTTGTTCAGGACAGGGACTGTTGGGCATGGTGCTAGATAGAGGCAAGGCCACTAGCTCAGTCTGTGCTCTGTGTGTTTGCAGCAGACAGTTCACATTTGTTAAGCATCCTGGGGTTTGATCAGGCTGCGCATGAGACCAGAACACTGCCTGGAGGCTTGTGGGAAGCAAGTTTCAGAGAATAATAGAATTGTCAGCTGAGTGTCACAGTTGTGGAATATTATTCATCCTACAGCATGTATCTGTAATTTAGTTACATAAATAATATGATTAGCTGTATATTTGCATACAAATTTAGATTGTCTTTTAAAGTGGAAAAAGTTGTCTCTATCATCTTGAGTACCATTTTCACACAAATCTCTATTCCTTTTGGATTAGGCAATAGCAAATCTGTTTTTTAAGTTCATGTGCAATAGAAGTTATGAACTACATTAAAAAAAGGAAAAAAAAAATCAAACAAAGAAAAAGTAAACCACCAAATCTGTGTCACTGTTTAGTTCTTGTCCAAACATGTCCTCTTTTCTCAGGTAAACATTAAATTGAATAGGTGATCTTGTTTAAAATTTTGTTGCAATGGTTGCTTTTATTAATGCTGGCCTAAAGTGAAATAATTTGGTTCTAGGAGAGACATGAACACTCTGCAAATATACTTTTTTCCTCTTTTTTTCAGGTACAGTCTATCTTATATTCCTTTTGCAAGGTGAGTCTGCATAATAATTTCCATCTTAACAGAAGTCAGTTACTTTTACACTGGGGAAAGGCATAAAGTACTTCATGTGTGTGGAAAAAATATAACATCCTTCTTTTTCTTTTAATTTTTAGAAAATGGCATAGCTGTACTTAAAACTCATGCTTAATATAAGCTTTAAGTAGAAGTACAATACATAGTAATTCTCTTTAATACATTTCTTTCTAGTTTCCACCACTGAAAATGAATCAAGGTTTTGTTTAAATATTGTCTGTAATGACTTAACAATACAATGATGCAATAGTGACTTTTCTGGTCCTAAAATTAAAGGTAGCTTATGGATCTGAGATCCTAGGTAAAAGCAAACAAGCAACATAGTGGCAGCTTCTGTTTCTGTGTCTGAATTCCTCCATCATTTTTAGGAGGGGTAAAGGCAACGCTTTATCATTTTCATTTTGGCAAGCTCCTCTCTTTCATTCTTGTGTACAAAAAGGGAATGAAAGCAGACCAAACACACAGTGAAAACACATGCAAGTAATCAAATGTAAGAATCTGTTTTTTCTATGATTCATGTAAAATGCAGTTTGGTCTTCCTGACAGTGGGTTTTTTAAATAAATTAAGCACTTCTGTATCATTTAATGAGGTTTGCTGTAGTATAGGTGTGGGGAAAAAGAATACAAAGTATTGTCTATCATCTGGTATTTTCCTGTAGCATCACAAAAAAAAATCTGATTTTTTAAAGCTTCAGATTTCATCTAGGAAGGATTTTTTTAAGATAGTTGTTGATAATTACAGTGAATAAAATAACTGAGCTCAGGCTTCAAACTGTCATTTTACTATTTCTGACATCTCAGACTAACCCAGACAAAAGTAGCATTCTGAATTCTTATAGATCCAGTGGCCATGGACCAGGTCTCAGTAGGTTCATTCCTTTTTTTTTTTTTTTGGTCTTTTTTCATGGTTTCTCTGTAGAGGAAGCAAGTTCAGCTTCTGGTTTCTCTGACTTTTTCTTCCCTATCAACTGTACTTCCAAGTTCTGGGCAGAAAAGCATTAGGTTATATGCATCAGTTAACTTCTTTGGGTTTATTTATCTAATAGATTTTATGAGCCAAAGAACTGAATTTTATATGGACTGTTTTTAGTAATACTGTGATTTCTTTAGGGATTACTGAATTATTTGCTTATGTGGAGTGGTATGATAGATTTGTTGTATAGACTGCCTTTCTTATGGGAACAATGATCTAAACCATGCTAAGTGCCAGAGAATAGTATTATGTCATTTGTTTAAAGTATGCATTTCTCTTGATTTCATTAAATTACCATTCCTTGGTTTAACTCTTTTCATGGTTTGCTCTTCAGAACATTTTACTTGTTCACGGGTTTGCTGGGGTGGGGGTTGTTAGTTTCTGTTTGTTTCTTCCTAAATTAATGGTAGCTCTCCTGTTGGCCTGGCAACAAAAAGCCCCACTTTTGGGAACCAGTCCCAAATGGAAACAATAACAAATGCAACAAAACCAAAACCCAAGCAGCTAAGTGACTTTAAGGAGTGATGATAGTATGTTTCTTTATTTTTTGCAGCTGACTAGCAACAGAATACAAATTCCACTCCTTAGTAAGTTGGTTACTTTTCTGGGAAAAGGAAAAATAATGGAGACTACAGGGAATGATCTGAGTGTAACAGTCAGAAAACAGTTTATTGTTGGTTAAAAAAAATTGAACCCTACAGAACTTCCAAACCTTAAGGCTGAACCAGCTCTCTCCATCCTGCACTGTCAGTGCACACTTCCAACCCTTCAGCCTGTGCTTTATTTCCTACACTGTGATGGTCCAGCTCTGATGTGGCTTGGAGCCCTGGCAGCCGTGCCTTGCTGGAGACTGGGCGCTCCTCAGCTGAGCCCTTGCTGGGCAGCCTTTGTGAAATCGGGCTCTGCACTTTGCTCAGCTTCCCAGTGTGCTGCAGAGCACTTCCTAATGCTGTGTTTGCATTTCAGCATGGCCCACAATGCAAACAGCATGGAATCCCTGGCAGTGGCCTGGCCTGAGCCTGGGCTTTAGCTGGGTTGGTGGAGGCACACAGATCCTGCATTTGATCAACTCTTGATATGTCTTTAGTTTCTGCCATATTTGTAACTGTAAATAGATAATGGTTCAGATATTTAGAAACAAAATAACAAATCTTAACTGACTTTTGTTTTCTTTTTTTTTAAAGGGATGCTGTGATTAAATGCTTCTCATCGTGTCTAGGGTAAATTAAAAGCACCACTGTCCAGTTTAAAAGGCAACTTTTTCCTCTGTAAATTTTGCTCAAAAAACTCTACTTTGCCGCTTCTGAAATACCCAGTAGCAGTTTAGTATTTTCCTTGCCTTTTGCACTTGAGAGATTAAATAGTTTTTACTAGAAACAGTTTTTAAAATAAATTTGGAGAATTATTTGTGTTTACCCTGGAACTTCCAGGCTTTTTTCTAACAAGAAAGTACATTTAAATACTTCATACAGAGTAGTCTTAACACTACTTTGTATCCAGTAACAGTTTATTCCTCAGTAGAGGCAAGTCACTAAGGCCTGGGTAGTATGCATAAAGGTTTCATTTACAGTTCTGTCTAAAATTTGCAATGTGCCATTTATGTTTGTATATTATCCATTGTATGCTCTTCCAAAGACACAGTTTTATAAACATTGTAAAGATTTGGAAGGTTGTAATTAACTGCTCCTTTGAAATGTCTATACATGTGCCTCATGGCAAAAACTTAATGAGAATGTGAAAGGTATTTTTAAAACCTGTTGGATTTTATTGAAAAAGTTGTATTTTAAATGTTTTTTTTAAAAAAAAAAACAACTTTCATACCTAAATACTTTTTACTAAAAGAACTTACGGCTAATGTATAAATGGGACTTGTGAAATAAATTCATTTTAAAATTGCCTAATACATTTTTTATTTAGGAATCAGCTATAGAGGGCTGAAAATTTCAACATCTGACTTAATCTAGTAATAGATTGAAGTACTCTAACACTTTGCCTGGCTCCAGTAAGAGGTTCTCATTTCTAATTTTTTCGGCTAAGAACTATCCAGTTATTCTGGAGCAAAGTTAAATCTTTAATATCAATTAATGTTTGGTTGATATTATATTGCAGGAGGTTCTTTTTCACACAGGATGGATATGCTTACATATGTGTGTTCTAAACTAAGTTGGCTTAGATTTTTTTTTCTCTTGATCCACAAATCTAGAAGAAGGAATGGCTTTGAAAAGATGGGATCTGCAACGTCAGGAAGGGGAAAATCTCAGTATTTTTAGTATTCAGAGTTCAGGCTAAAGAGACAAATTGAGGTACAGTATGTTCCTGTTAAATCTCAGTGCATATTGCAAAACATAGCAACAACTTTTGGGGAAGCTGTGTACAGGGTGATTGCATTATTTTGCAGCTAGACTTCCAACTAAGCCATGCCTTTTAACTGGTTAGTAACAATAAATTCCAGGAAGGCATTCTCTCTGCTGGTGATTGGCAGGGAGCAGGTAGTCCTGGCCTCGCAGCAGGCTCTTGGGCTCGCTAGTGCTGTGTGATGGAGACACAGCTATTCCAAGTCTGCCCACAGCCCTTGGGTGCCAAGGCACCTTGGGGTGAAGTTTTGTTTCCTTTTAGTTTTCAGCTTGCAGTGAAGAGGAAGTAGGACATGCGTAGACAGTGATGAGCATCACCCTGGAAGTGACTACCCCTTCCCCAGTCGTTGCTGCTGGCCTCAGCTGACTGGAAAGATCCCGTCCCATCCCATCCCTAGTGCGTCAGGGCCAGGCTTTCATTTGCTCCAGAGGTGGTTTTACCCATCACCCACCAGTTCTGGTGGTACACAATCACCTTCACTGCAGTCTTTAATTAGAATTACATTGGTTATTCAAAATTTATTTATTTATTTATTTATCTACTGTGGTAAATGACAAAGTTACCTTTCATCTGTTAACACTTAGATCACCAGGAGAAAATTCAAGAACCAAAAGTTCCATGTACTGGTATGCTTCCATATGCACTTTGGTCTGTTAGTTACATCATGTGCCTTCCTTGTTTTTTTTCTCTCCTGAACATTTCAGAGTTTACTTCCTCTATGTCCATACAGAGCACACACTCTGCGTTGTTTTGCCTCTGTCTGTTACTCCTTCACATCCTGTCTTTGTTTACTGTGTATGAGTATTCCAAGAGCTCACAGTTGGAAAATCTTCACAGTATAGTAATACCCAGTATGATAGTGTGGAACCAAAGGTGTGAAGATCTGTCCCTGTGGATTGCATACATGCTACTCATTTTTTGATAAAGTTTTGGTACCCTAATTAAAACAGTACTTTGAAGTAAATGCTGTAGAAATTATAAGCCGTGACTTCTAAGGCTAAATTGTGGAGTGATGGTAATCATTTTGTAGCCATAGGAACTATATGTTTACTTATTACTCCACCATGAAACTCCTCCAAACCTCTGTTGTTGGCTAGGGTACTTGAAAAGATAGGAAATTGCTGTCTTGGATATCACAAAAAGCCACACCAAACCCTAAACAAACAACAAACCTCCAATGGGGGTATGAGCATTAGCTCTGTCACAGAGGGCATTGACGCTAGAAGGATCTCTGGACTGTACTCTTCATTACCAAACCAGGCAGTACTTGCCCACTAAGTCCGAGTCTGCCAGCCCTAGGTCTGAGTGTGTCTGTCTCTTGGCCTGTCTGCCTGCCCTTATTCATGATACTTCAAGTTATCAAGGAGCTCAAAGTATCATTCTTGTTTTTAAGACGGCAAGATAATTTAACGTTTTAAAATATTGCCTTTTCACACTTGGACACTTGAGGACTTCGGGAGGAATTTAGAGCCTTTTTGCTCTCGGGGCGTGAGCCCCGTCATCCTCTTTAGTTCGGCTCTGCTGTAGGGCGGGCGGGAGAGGACCGGGAAAAGGCGCCGGAGTAGCGCCGCATCCAGCCCGACCTGTGCGGCTCGTTCGGGAGCGTGGCCAGTACTGGCACGACCCCCGTCCCCGCCCGCACGCCCACCCCGCGCTGGGGAAGGGTGTTCCCGGGGCGGGCGAAGGGCGGGAAGGGGGAAGGGTTATCGAGAGGGAAAATCGGCTGCTGTCGGGGCAGAGCGAGCTCGCATTCCGCGCCGGCGGTTCGGGCTCCTCGTTCGCCTCCGGCCATGGGGCTGCAGCCGCGGCGCGCCGTGGGGCCCTGCCCGCCCGCGGGAAGAAGCGCCGCCTTGCCCGGAGCGAGATCCGCTCCTCCCTGGGCGCGCAGCGACGAGCCGGAGGGAACTCCAGGGCGCCACGCCACGATGCCGCCCCTCCTGCCGGCCATCCTGCCGACCCCCTCCGCTTCCCCTGCTGCCGCCCGGGCGCAGCCCAAGAAGCCGCAGGCGGCCGCCTCGGCCCCCAAGAAGGCAGCGCCTCGGCCCGCAGAGGAGAAGGTGGCGAGGAAGGCGCCAGGGGAGCCTCCGGAGCGGCCGGGACCCCTCTCCAGCTCCTGGCCCTGCTCGTCCCTACAGCGGCCGCCGCCGCGGAGACTGCCGGCCGAGCGGGCGGCGCGGCCCCAGCCCACCCCTCCGCAGCCGCGGGGCCGCCCGGGGGTGCCGGGGGCGGGCAGCCGCTCATGCGAGAGCCTCGGCGGGGCACCGGGGGAGGCGGCGGGGCGCTTCTCGCTCAGCCTGCCTCCGGAGGCCATCCGGGTACTGCAGCGCCGCAGCCTGGAGCGGCAGCGGGGGCAGCCCGCACCCTCTCCCGCCGGCAGAGCCGCCTCGGCCCGGCGCGGCGACCTGCGCGCTCTGCTGAAGGTTTCGCTGCTCAACGACCGGCACCGCTACGACGACGAGGAATACGAGGAGGAGGAGGCGGGGACCGCGGCGGACGAGGGGCTGGTGCGGAAATGCACCGAGTGGCTGCGTGGTGTGGAGAGTGCGGCCGGCCGCGACCACCCCGAGCGGCTGGAGATGCTGCCGCACTTGGGCACCCCCTGAGCCCTGCCGGGACCTGGGAGCGGCACGGCGGCGGCTGTCGGAGCGGTCGCTCCGGGGGGAGGTGGGGCCACCATCCGCGATGTCGTGTTCCGTGCGATGTTGTCGGCGCCCTGGCAGCCCGGGCAGGCGGCGGCAGGAGCCGGGCAGCGGAGCCGCTGGCCCGGAGCCGATCCTCGGGCCGCCTCCGCCGCCGGGTCGAGGGACAAAGGAGCGGCTCCGGCCTCCGCCCGCCGGTGACCCGGTGCTGGGAGGGAGGGCACTGACTGTGGGCGTCCTGCCTCCATCCTCGCGGATTTTTTAAAGATTTCTGACTACTTTATAAAATGTGCGTAATGGTTTTGTATATTTGTACATAAAAGTTCATTTTTATTTATTTGAATAAAGGAATCTTGTGTTGCGGTAGCCTTCGCGCCTTGGTAGCTTCGCGTTGGGTTGTCCCAGCCTGGCGGTATCCGCTGTCTCAGTGTCCATACGGTAAGGATGGCGGGCTGGTCTCCGTGCCGAGAAGCCTGTGCCGTTCACACGTTTTTTCCTCGGAATAGTCGCCGACAGTTCGGCTCCAGGGAAAATGCGCAGCCGCGGGTTCGGCGAGGCGGCAGAGGCAGGGGACCGAGCAGGCGGGGACGAGCCCGTCGCTGCTGGGGGCAGATGGCAGCAGTGCCGACCACCGCGCCGGCGGGGAGCAGTCCTCCCGGGGAGAGGCAGGAACAGCGGGAGGAAGATGGGGAGGTGCGGGGGCCGCGGCGTGGGCAGAGGTTGCTCCGGTTCCGTCGGCGAACCGGAGAGGAGCGGCTGGGTTTGTGCATGGACTTGGCGATTTCATCCCCTCCCAGGCAGTAATTCAGATACATTCGACGGCGGAAGGAAGGCAAGGAAGGAAGGATCGTCCTTTGTCAACGTTTCCCGGCTTCCCGTCTCTGCAGCCCACTGCAGCCTTCCCCTCTCCAGGCTATGGCCATGCCTGGTGCTCTTCCGAGCTTTGTGTGTTGGGAGAAGCAAAGAGGGGGCTGGGAGGCTAAGTATACCGAAATTACGGGCGGAAAGGGAAGGGTAAGTCTTTACCAGGCTTACAGTGTCTCGGCCACCTACTGTTGCTCTTATATTGTTGTTATCTAGCTTCCCAGAACAAGAGTCAGACCTAAACATTTACTGTGATTCAGTAAGTGTTTTGCAAATGAATGTTTGAATATGTAGGAACACATTCAGCTGAATTTACTTAGTGAGTAAAACAAAGTTTAGTGCCACAAACTGGGTATTATAAATTTCACTAAGACATCAGTTGTTTACACCAAATGATGTCTGTGTTGACTTCCATTAAATTACGTGAGATAAACCATTCTGTATATTAATTGCACAATGTAGCCATGTGCTGCATTTTGTTTGGCTCCATGTTTGTTCAAGTACCTTTTTCTTTTTTTCCACCTGAAACTTAAGGAATGACTGGGGAAATGGTTTGGGAAAATAAATATTTATTAAATGCATTGATACTGCCAAAAAAAAAAAAAAAAAAAGAACCAGTATAAGGCAATTGTGAAATGGCTATGCTCAAAGGCCAGTGACAAAAGCAAGGGGCATGAAAATTTCTGGAGATTATATCTGTTTTATTTAAGCAAATGTAGAGTCATTTGTAGTGATAGCTATGAAACACATGCATTTTTCATATCATTTTACCTGAGTTTGCATGTAGTTCTGTCATATTACCAGTTTTCATAAACATCTTCAAGTCAATCTGCCTCAACAACTCAAAATTTCCTGCCAAATTTAATACATGCTGGATTGATGTCAGAAACACCTTTTGTTGTTGTTTTTCCCTCTTCTAACGATGGAAATGCTAGTAGTTGTTAGCTGAGTTTTCCTTTTGTTTCACTTTTCGGAATGTGAGTTTATAAATGAGCATCCTGGACTCTTAATGTTGTTCCTTAAACTGCACCATGGTTTCCTATTAACTACAATCAATATCTCCAGTGGCAATGAAATGTGATTCACTCATTAAGGGCTGAAGTATGTTAAAGCTTACTTGTGAGGCTGAAAGCTCTTTGTTCAGAGTCTGAAGTGTGGCAAAAAATTCAATAAATTTGAATGCACAGCTGTAGCAAATGCAGTGTGAACTGGGGGTAAGAGGGGCTGGAATTGAAGGGCTGCCAGCTCTGAAAAAGAAAGAACCTGCTCCTAGAATGAAGAATTTGAGAACTTGGGAATTGCCTGGATAGATTTCATTTGTTTATTTATTTATTTATTTATTTCTCCTAAAGAATTCATTTGAATGAAGCTGATCATGCAGCTAAGATCTTTTATGTTAGGTAAGTCATTGTGCATGGTAACTGGAAGTGGGCCTGAGATGAGCTCATTCCAAATGAGGTTATGCAGTCCTGATTTTGGGCTGGATGCTAAGAGCCACTGGACTCTGGAGTCATATAACTAATGTCTGCTTAGAATAGTATCTCCTTCACTAAATGGTAACACCAAGATTTATTGTTTTCGGTATTGCCACCTTTCTGCTCTCTTCAAATGAGAAATTATGCCCTTAGTGTTCTGAATACTTTCAGCCGAAATGCCCAGAAATCTTACAAGTAGTACTAGAATAGACAGAGGAAGTTAATTCCTACGAATCAGCAGTGACTTCTGTTCCTTTTGCACGTTCCTTACCTCCTGGTATTTTTTCAGTTTGAAAGAAAACTCTTGGATTCCAGTATCTAAAAATTGAAGCTAAACATAATAAAACTGCTTATTTAATTCATTAATATGTGTTATAATAGACAGTTGAGCCCAGTAGCAGGTTCCACAAGAAAAAAATGCCTGTGGAAATTCAGAAAGTTGGAAAGTGGAAACCCTCAAATAAGTTATTGCATTGTCTTAGTGCAGAATAGCTACTGCTGTCTAAGATCCATTATTTAATTGTATATGTCAGTAGACATCATATAATGAACTAATCATTCTTCCTTTCCTTGATGAGAGGGCAAAAGCCTTACAAAGTGTTGAGAACCAAGACTCTCTACCCCACTGATCCCCAGTCAGCCTCAGCCTTCCTCCATCTCTCAAACACATGGGTTCAGGACAGGTTGTGGTTGGCATTACCGGAAAATTCAAGCGGGATGCTGTGAAACAGCATGTTTTCTGCCCCTCTGCTGCACTGCGCTCAGTCAAGGTGAGAGAGCTTTCCCTGGAAGATAAGGACACTGCCAGCTCCCCCCAGTTCTCAGCTTGTGGAGCTGTACCCCAGTGTAAGTATTGCTGTAAGAACCCTTCTGGTTCTGTACTGGTGAACAGATCAGGTGTCTTCAGAAACACTTTTCAGGTGACATAGATCTGATTTTGCCAAGAGCCAAGAAGTAGCCTGGAAGTTGCTACATTTGCTTTTTACCATTTGTACATTAGCCATCTTCAAATTCCCTCAGCCTAAGCCTCCCACTCATAAACCTTTTAGCTGTTGAGAGTTAGGAGCAGCTGGTGCTATGAATGCTTAAAATAATCAATAATTTCTTTGGGGAGGATAGCTTCTTCCTCCAAATATATCAGCATGATTTACAGTGGAAAAACATGCCAAAGCAACACATATTCTGGCTATTTTTTTTAAGGTAGCTAATAAATAGTATTGCCTTCCTGCTGCTCCTGAGCAAGGGTGGGAGGCCAGATACAGGTGAAGCCCATGTTTTTCTAACTGAACAATCTCAGCCCTGTGCATTGCTGAGTTTGCTCTTGGGTTCTAGCCCAACTCTCGACTTTCTCACTCCACTGATGCAGTTAGTACCTTTTTTAAAAATTTATTTCAAAGCTGAGGGGGAGCATGTTATTGCCCAGCTTTTATCTTCTTTTGTGATCTACCTCACCAGCATGCTTGTAAAGCCCTGACAAGCCTATTCCCTGAGCTGTTGTCAAAGATCTCCATTACCTCACATCCTTTCCAGCTGTGCCTAAGGGGTCTGACACACAGCTGGGTGAGGCCATCTGTCTGGGAGCTGCTGTCCTGAGAGGACCATTGGAGTAGTGTCTGTCTAGACCACAACTGTCCTTTCGGTTGGGGGGGGGCTCTTTGGTTTTGTGGGTGGTTTTTGTGAGGTAAAGGCACATTCTGTTTTCTTTCTTAAGAAAAGCCTCTTCCCATTGGTGGTTTTGTGAAGAGAGGAAGAGATTTATGAGAAGGTTTGGCTTTGGCACTTCCTGGAAGGGTAGTCAGCATTTTTCGATGACCAGGTGTGGCTGTGTGTGAGCTCCTGGCTGACACAGCTGCAAGGAAGGGAGCCCAACACAGTGCCAAGTCACTACCAGAACCAAAGTTAATGCAGTTCACTTCTTGGCCTTCAAGAAAGATGTGAATGTTTCTTTTCCCTTCCCAAGGGGGAAAACCTCCAGCAACAGTCTCTAGAAATAGTGCTGGTAATTTGTTATTCACAGGTGCTCTTGCTTCTTATGAGATCATGGGGAAAATGCTGTGAGCCTCACTGAATGAATGTCTGCAGCTGATGAGCCCTAGCCTGGATCTCCCCCAGCTGCAGGACCAAGACAGCAAATGGTTGTGTTATGAGTTAGGAGCCACTTCCAGAGAAAGAAGCTGGCACCCAGTGACAACAGTAAGTTGAGGATATAGATGATGCAATGAGGTCTTTTAGTCCCTTTTAATTTTATTGAAAGAGCTGTTACAGGTTATGTTTGAATGATATTATTTAGCAATTTCCACCCCCCCACCCCCCTTCTTTGCAATATAAAATGAGGGATTGAGAGTTCTGGAATGGTTTAAAGATTTCTTGGTTTGTTTTTATTTTTTATAAAATTGAAAATATAAAAAAAACCCATGCAGTCTGTGTTTTCCAGTCAGCTGTCTTGAGTTAATGACTGCCCTGGTTTTGGTTGAGATAGAGTTATTTTCTTCTCAGTACAGCACTGTGTTTTAATTCAGCATGAGAATAATGTTGATAACACACTGCAAGCTTTTGTTTTTTGCTAAGTCGTGTTCATCCTAAGTCAAGAACTTTTTTTGTGTCTCATGCTCTGCCAGTGAAGAGACACAAAAGGAAAACTGGGAAGGAACGTTGCTGGGACCAGTGACCCAAACTGGCCAAACAGATGCTTTCATACCCTAAAACATCATGCCCAGTATATAAACTGGGGGAGTTACCCTGAAGGAGAGTTGATCTGGGTTTGGGTCAGATAAACTGGAGTCTGGTATCAGTCAGTGGGTGTGAGCAATTGCATTGTGCATCACTTGTTTGTTTTGGTTTGGTTTTGTTACCATTATTACCATTTTTTTTTCTTTAAATAGTTATTGAACTCTTCCTATATCAACCTACAACTTGTACTGTTGATTGTCCTCCCCACTGCACTGGTGGGGGTGAGGAGGGTGGTGAGTGGCTGCTGTGGTGCTTAATTGCCAGCTGC